ATATAAATATCTATATTGTAAGTATTTAATGTAATTGTATGCTATACTATAAAGAAGAATGTATTGTAAATTGCATTACAATATTTTTCAGCAGTGAAGGATACATCAATACATAAACAGAACACATGCTTCAAATACAATGCTTTTGTTTTTAATCATACTGTTTTTACCAGATAATTATCAGGCATTTGAAAAGGATTAATCACACCATGTCATTAATGCTTTTTGAGCAAGAAGCAAAGCACATTAGGCACCAACAGAATATTTTTTAAATTACTGTGGGGAAATGGAAAACTCAAACATAGTCTCATTTTAATGTTCCATGAAATTGATGAAAATTGCACATCATCTTCATTGTATGACCTCTAAAGGCAACACTCAGGCAACAACAAGTAGAACTATGGGTTCACATTGTCAACAACAACAAAATCAGCCAATTGCTGCTTATGTAATTTTTCTGGAAAATTAAACTATGGTTCTCTAAGAACATACATTTTCAACTAATGTTAACTTAGAACATTCTTTCGTGCAAGCTTAAAAGCTACAGTTAAATTAAAGACAACCTTTCACTCTGCAGTATAGTAACTACAGACCTTGGCAAACTGCCGGATGTTAACACCTGCCTAAGAGTTTCAAGGTGTTCCGGTAAGAAACACAACCCACATCTTATCTGCTCAGCATTTATCGTTAACTGATATCATCAACTCTGTACAGCTCTTATGTCTACACTGTGCCTAGCTAACTTTACATGTTTTTCACAGCTACTCTTTAATCAGTTTGAACAATCGTATCTATAGTAACTTAAACTGCATTATCAAATAAGTAAAATTTAAGCAATTTGGAGCAAATAGTTTAGTAAATTACTTCATTTTGCACAAAAAACCCATATGTATGAATTGTATATAGTTAAAAACAAAGCATTATGCTCTTTTTAAAAAGAAGCACATTTATAATTCACATTGTTTTTTTGAACAGTGAATAACACAGCACAGGGAAACAGAACACCCATTTGGTTGCCTCAGGTCTATAATACCGCCTTAAGCTGTGCTACTAAATTGAAAAGGAATATGTTTATGTGGCACCTACTTCATGTCAGTACTGTATAAAACACGAAGCTCTTATCTGACCTAAAGCCTATCCTCTAACCCCAACACAATCTCTTTTCTAGAAAAACAAAAGAAACGCTGGGACATTGTAAAAGCATATGTCAACACCTTCGGAAACAAAAGTTAAGAAAAATACGAGATTATATGGTTTGTATGGACTCTTATTACAATACAATCATAGGCTTTTTGATTCAGAAATGTTTTCTATGACTGCAATGACAGAGATGAATATAACCATGAATAAAACAGTGATTTAACAAAAACAATGGAGTGCGGTTTTATTCTGGTTTTCTATTATAGTTTTTTAAATGCTTATTGTTCACAAAAATAAATAAAAAAAACCTCTCAGTGTTACATGAGCTTTATCTTATTGTTGGAGAACAGACTTTGCTCAAAACTTGATCTACTTTCACAGACATACACAGTAAGAAACGTTTGCTTTATTATAGACCTAAGGTGTGCAAACAGCATAGCACTCAACCTGAGGTTTGTTTAAATAAGACTAGATCTTTAATCAAATTCCAGACAAACATTTACTGTCTTTAAAACTGTTTTGCACTTTAAAACTGTTAAGCTCAAATAAACCGATAGGCTATCTGTAGCATCAGCCTGAAGTGGCCCACTATAGAGTTTCAAAATTGTATGTGGCCCGTGGGCCAAAAACATTTGCCCACCTCTGAACTAGGACCAACACTGAACAAAAAATACTCTCTATTACAATATGTTCTATGGCTATTCCCTACTTAAAACTGTATTTTCAAAGAGAAAGCATTTCCTTTGGGGAAAATATATATCTAGAAGAAACCAAGCAATCTCTTGTAAGGAATAAATAAGAATCTTGAGTTGCACCTTTTAAGACTTACTTAGTAACAGAATGCAGTTTTCTGTACTATATACAGGAAAAGCCAGTTTGCACCTATGCACCTGTTAGAAAGCAGTTATTTGGCTTTTGTTGGCAGTTTCTATACTTTAATACTTTAAAAGTTAAATCATTGCATTACACTTAACTGCCACTGATTTTAATATTTGCACAAATTTACTCATAATACTTTCACAAATACTTCTCACAAAAGAAAAAAAGTGAAAATCGACTTCTTGTTGCAGGTAAACTGCGTAGTGCTCATCAACGGGATGGGTATTTAATAAATAAACTTTGATTTGAATAAAAATGCTGTTATAAAGTCTCAGTAACAACAAATTAATTGACAGTATCACAAAATTTTACAAATTCCGATCAAAACACAAAATACTGAACAAAAGTACCAATAGTCACCCTATTGCAGAGAGTTGTGAGAATTGTTACGTGAAGAAGCTCTTCCTGTTCGCTAAGAGAAGAGATCACTTTATTGGCCATATACAATTTCTTGCATTAGGAATTCGTCTTTTCGCATACCCCAGCTTGCTTTCCATGAGACACATGGACAGGGAGAGAAGCTTGGGGTTATTGCGCGGGGTCAGCCATTGTACAGCACCCTGGTTAAGGGCCTTGCTCAGGGGCCCATTGGAGTAGGATTCCACTGCCGGCTGTGGGATTTGAACTGGCAACCTTCCAGCCACAAGCGCAGATCCTAAGCCACAGTGCCACCACTTTGCCCAGTAGCTAGTCACCGTAATGACTAATGTAATGCTATGAACAAGTGAAATGGAACAGGTTATGTACAATGTGAGCGTGTACATTTACTTTCATTGTGGTTTGAAATGCACTCACCAATTCTTTCTAACTCTGAAATATAAAAACAGCATTACAATTGCCCTTTAACAAGGAAAGTCATTGGGCAATAGTGTGTGGCCATTCCTACAAGCAATACAACCTGCTTATCTGTGACACATGCAGTTGCCATCTTGTGAGATTGTGCTTCTTGCAGAGCTTATGAGCATGTGTCAGTTCACAAACCCTAGATAACATGTTGCCACAGCTCATCCCACAAATGATCAATGGAGTTCAAGTGTGGAGATAAGGGCATTCACATGATAACCGTCTCATCTCTAACGATCATCAATGTTACACTATTACACTATACCACAATGTTACACACAAGGTTGTTTTCATGTCAGGATGAGTCTTAAAGAAGTGAGGTTCCAGTATGCAACAATGCAGCCTCATATAGTTGCCAATCACTTCTTGCAATCAAACCTGGCATTTCTGAGGATGTGGACCTGTCACTGTACAACCTCCATACATATGGAGAATAATTAACTTCTCAAGATGATCAACTACATGAAAAACATACACATATAGAGTCAAATGTTTTTATGACGCTCACTATATTATACATCTGAAACCTGCAGAACATTGTTGTGCATTAAAATTGATATTTGTAATGCACCATTTAAATGGAATGTGCATACTTGATGTAAGTGTGCAGTTAGACTCAAGGATGGACTTTTTCACTAAACAAAGGATTCACATTTGAGTATACAACTAAGCTGTTTTTTTCTTGGAATGATGTGAAGGTACTCTAGTGCAATAAACACCAGTTCTTTTTCACTGCCTCTGTTATGAATTCATATACTACAGCAGAAAAACAAATCTAGCGTTTAGAAGGCAGTAAATTAGTCATGGTTTCAAGTTGACTGTGGATATTTTGGTGCTTTCTGTATCAGAAGCGTACAGAAGATTATGGAACTATCTATAATTTAGAAACTACTTTTTCCATAGGATTTGACATCACTATGTGATTTAAACAGAACCAAAGACCATGTGCTTGACACACGACTTGGGTTTATAAAATCTGTAAAAAGGTATTAAAAAGCAGTGAAGTAAAAAGGGATAAGGGAGATCAGTAAAGAGGCCAGTGTTCTGAAACAATTATTGAAAGTGTATTTACTGAACTTTGCTGTAACAACAGTACAAAACACCTGAACCTGAGCTGTAAGGGATTTAATAATACGTGTATAAATCCCAAACCTTGTTTCTAAAGTTCCTTAATCGTATTTAATATAAGCAGCTTCGGATAAATGTGTGAGCTACATAAAATATTAAAATACTGGCTTTATTCAAAAACGAATGGGTAATAAAAAAGACGGCCAACAACACACAGCACATTTAAGGTTCATAATTTTAATTAAGCAGGTCTAAGAGTTACTGTATATTTTTCATTTTTAGCCCTGACAATCTAAGGACTCTAGGCACAGACTATGATAAATCAATGTATTACTTAATGCAGGACGTACAATTACAAAGAACAAATTGAATTTAAGAAATTTAATTAATCTTGTGAGGACCTCCATAAATAAAGCTACATTTTGCAAAGCCCAACTTTTCATTTATGAATTATTTTCATTGCCTTTAAAATCACAATCCTAAAATAATTAGCTACATGGGTGTGGATTTTTTTCAACAGAAGCAAATTTCCTTCTGTTGAAAAACCGAACGAAGGCTGGTATTGCCAACTACTGTACCCAAAGCTACCACCTGCGGTTTTGACCTCAATAACATAAGCGATCTGCTAAACAAATCGGACTTTAAATATTCTTGTCCTAAAGGTAAGTTTTTAAAATGTTTTCCATAACACCTTTAAATCCTTTGAGAATTTTTATTAGTTACAAAAAAATCGAATAACTTCGAGCAGCTTTGTTGACCAAATAAGTTCTTCTAGTGCGCCAGTGACGTCTATAAATTAGGTATTAATAAAATTGCAGGAGTCCCAAAAGTGCTCCGGCGCAGTCAAAGTAACTAAACGCAAAAAAGTTCCTTCACATTTAGCACACTAGAAAAATAATCGATGACCTTGTCTTGCAATGATCTAGCTGTATGTCGCTCAGTTAGGCCCCTGTGGTTGCAACTTTGTGTACTCCTTGATGTCAGCACCAAAATACCACTTGCTGTAAAAAGTGCACAATCCTCGCTCCCTTCGCTTAAGACAAAAAACGATATCTGATTGTAACACTCACCCGTCTGAGTTTGAAACGATTCCATTCCGCTCTAGTTGTCTGGGACTTCCCAACTGAGGCTGATATCCACTTTTTTTTTTTTGCAATAAATTTACGTATCACAATAATTAAAAAACAAAATACAAAGATCCTCAGGCTATCTAAAAAGCCAAAACATATCTAACTGAACAACTGTATTCCTGTCCACGTTCTATTGGCAGCTCCTATGTCCATTGTTTGATCAAAGAATGCAGAAATACTGTACGATAAAGGCTAATGCGATTTTTGTTTTTTGAATTTCGTACAAATCCCCGAAAATAATTTCCTTAGCTGTTTCTCACGTACTTGGTTTTAGCCGACCATTTTAAGCTCAGCTACATTTCCTTCCTCTTTCCGAAAGCTACATTACCATGTGATTTTGTTAAGACAGTAGCTAACGATCGCCTATCTATGCATTTAAATCTCTGCAGAGTGTCGCTTTTACAGTAACACTGGCGAAGTGACGTGTTCTACAGTTACAGTATATTTTTCTATTCATTTAATAAGAATAATTCAATTCAGCCTTACGATTTTAAAGAATAGCCGACCATTTCAAATACAGCGCTAAACCTATAAGTGTAAAATGCACGTGGTCATGGCAACATCAAAGAATGTGATCATTTTTACATTGTTGTTACTGCTTTTAGTGAATGAGCATTAGTACCAACGCCTGCAAAAAGCAGAGTGCAAGTGCTTTATTTAGTGCTAAACCACATTTTATTTAAAGCTTTGTAACTTTTGTATTTAACCATTTAACCCTCTCTCCCACACACCCAGAAAAGGCTCCACAGCCGAAACGCCTCTGCTTTTCAGTTCAACATGGAATAAACCTTTACATGTTCCTTTGCAACCTATGCATGCTGACGCAGCTACAGTACCTACTTGAACTTAATTAACCAGTACTGGATATAACCAGAAAGAGTAGGAAATGCTAACAGTACTTCTGGGAAAAAGAATAAAAAGGCTTCAAATGAAGCTGAGGTAGACGGGCAGAGCAGTGGCTCTGTGGCTAAGGATCTGCACCTGTGGCTGGAAGGTTGCCAGTTCAAATCCTGCAGCTGGCAGAGGAACCCTACTCTGTTGGGCTCCTGAGCAAGGCCCTTCCAATGGCAGGCCCTGTGCTCTGACCCCAGGCTCTCTCCCTGTTTGTGTGTCTCATGGAGAGCAAGCTGGGGTATGTGAAAAGATAATTCCTAATGCAAGAAATTGTAAAGGCTTAATAAAGTGATGTTATTGTTATTATTAGATCAACAAATAGCGGGTGAAACTTGAGATAAAATATGATGAGAGTAGAGAACATCAGACTTCAGAGGGCCAAAGGTCTTACAATCCATCCTTCCGTCTTCTGCTTTGTACAATACAGGATTGCCAGGTCATCAATGAGTTGGTCATCATTGGGTGCAAAACAACACCCTGGACAAGACGCCAGTCCATTGCAGGGCAGACAGACACAAACTTGCACACACTCATTAGCAGGAAAGGAGCACCATTGAAGGTGCTCGTCTCCTGCAGAAATCCTCTTTAATCTTCAGTAAAATCAGAAGGGCAAGAACTGGTGAATTCCTCTTAAAATCCCTTCCCCCCAATTAACTAAAACAAGCTTGTCTTTTTCTTATTCTGGAACACCTAGCACACTTAACTGGGTTCACCCATTTTACATCCAGTCCTTGTGTCAACTGAATGAAATTTGTCCCAGTATCCTCACTGACATCCTTTACCTTGCTTAAAATTTCAGACCCAGTTTTCCATCTCTACTTTAATCAATATTAATCAACTTCCTCAGTGAGACTCTGGAGTTTAAGAACAAATTCCAGAACTAACATTATCAAGTGAATTTGCTACCATTCAATCTCTCTTTCATTAATAACCACATTAAAGAAATGCTTGCAAGTTCTTCTTAAACCATCTCAGCCCTTCACACATTTTGACTGATAGCAAGACTGCAGGTTTATTTGCTGAACTCAGAGCACAGGAATAAAAGGTACTCCCAATGCTATTAAACTCTCTACAGTCCATACTATCCTACCCTAGACACCTGACTGCTGATCTACCCTGATTGCTAATCCTGAGGAATGTTCCTATAGAGCCAATCAAATGATCCCCTTTATGCCTGTGGAATGTCATTCAGGTGTGTCCACTTTGAAGTAGGAGGGGAGGCTTCAAACAGGCCTAAGCTTGCACCATCACAATAACAGTTAATATTTTTAAGTTTTCAAAATCATTCACAGAGTAACCTAGGGAAATCAGGCCACTACTGTGAATAGTAGAATAGTATTGGTGGACTAGTAGGTGATACTCTTCACTCAGACCATAATTCCCAAACCCATGCCACAGCAAACTGACCAGGGAGACTGTGCTGTTGGAGGTGTTGTCCTTCAAATGAGATGTTAAACTGATGTCATTGGTCAGATCCCATGACACTGTTTCGAGGTTAGGAGTGTTAATCCTGTTGTTTTGGGTAAATGTCACTTTGGATTGGTCAATATGAATATGCCCCTTAATTCATTTTTCCACCTGACATGCAGTACAGTGGGGCTGCTGGCGCATAATAGTTGCAGTGTATCACTTAAGTGGGTGTTCCACTTCTGTGTTGAATGAAGTGGGTTCCTCCCATATGTAAATATTTTGTCAACATTGAAAATAAAATGACTATAGAAATGTAAGCTATATCTAAATACTAAAGTATAAGATACCGTATTAGTACACATGATTATATTCTCTTATTAAATACTGGAGTCCATAAAATAATTTACCTCATGCTGCCAACCATTTTGAATGTTCCCAGGACATACGAGTATTTATTTTATCGAAAGCATCAAAATTAGAATTTAAGAATGATAAAAAGCATAACTGTCTTAGAAGATTAAATCTATTCTAGCAGAAGGCATATTAATAATGACTTTGCAATTATAATTCTATGATCTTTGACATTTTAGGTCTTTGTATATGAAGGTATTTTGTACTATGAAAAGGCAAAACCATTCACACCTATTTATACACTTTCAGAACATTTCAAAAAGACATACTTTCAGAACGGCATGAGTAACAATGTTGATGTAGACATACAGGTAATTATTCTATGTACTACCTGTCAAGATATATAATCTCAAGTATTTACAACCACAGCTAATTCCTCTGGAATTTTAATATCACTCTCTAGGATAAATTAGAGATCAAAACAAAATATATTGTTTGTTAATTCATTTGTATTATTTATTAAAATATTAAACTAAACAAATTACAGAATAACATTGTTTCAAATTAAGGGTGTAAAAGTACAATTGTTTGTGACTGTACATGTTTTCATACAAAAAATAAAAAGGATTTGCATTTTCAAATATCAGCAATATTTAAATTGCAATTGGATACTGTGGAGCTTCTCTCAAGGAATTAGTAGTTCAGGTGGGTAGCTGCCTTCTCTCAAGGAATATTGTCCTTTAGCCACTTGTTTAGTACATGTAGATTCCTCTCTAGCCACCTAATGTTCTTTTGTATCAATTCTAAAATAACTTCAGTAACCTTTAATTCATACCCTTGTTCTTTTAATGAAGCAAAGAAAGTTCTAACCTGTAAACAAAAACAAAAACAAAAACATACATTAGAATCTGGAAATCTTAACTTAATCATTCTAGTATTCTGCCTAACTGATATTGCTCATCCTAATGATAGCCTTCTGGTTTTCATTCCACGTATATGTACTGTACATCTCATCCAAACAGTGTAAAACCTTATTTTCCAGACTAAATGATGACTATAATTGTTTAATCTCTGGGTTGCAAAATACAAAAGCTCTGTCACATGAGAGCATCTCAAATCCAGATTAAGGAAAAAGCATAATTAGGTTCCACTACATTAGTCCTAAAATGAAGTGACACCTGTGTAAAACACATATCCAAGTAAAATGTGAAACAAAAAAATAAGCAAATGCTAACCTCTTCCAGCTCTTGATTGGAAGAAAAATGAGAGGTGGTTCCAACTAGGATGCCTCTAATAGCTGATGATCCCAAATGAAACCTGGGGGAAAAAATACAACACACACAAATGCCAAATTAAATTTGCACTGGTGCTGCAGTTCACTACAGAGTCTTCATAACCCTTAAACATAAACAGGAAAATTATCTGCTCCCACTAAAAGACCCAGACTGTACACTGGCCCATCCGACTGGCCCATCAGGCCTTGGTTCTTCAGAAATTTAGTTTCCTCCTTTGGGGTTTTTCATCTTTCCTCTGTGGGTACTTGGATTGCACTGATATGGTCATGGGTGACAAGCTGTTGCAGTGGCCCTGGTGTGAGTGCATGCATGTCTGTTTCTGTCTGTGTACCCTGTGATGGACTGGCGTTTCACACAGGGTGTATCCTGCCTTTTGCCTGTGGTTTGCCAGGAAAGAACACGGATGTATGATATGGCCATATCGATTACCAATTTTAAAAAGTGTTATATCAAACAAAAAATGAACTGAAGTGAAATAAATTGTGATTCAACAGCATCCTACGATGAACTTACCGTGATGATAAAAATCTGAAAAAACTTTTAAAAAAATTTTTGGTTAGTACAGGAATCAAAGGGTATTCCTAATTTTAGAAGATGAAACAAATGTCAAAGACATTTAGTATATCTTGATATGTGGTTTCTCAGTTCATTTTCACAAGTTTACTTGAAGTTTTTGGTGCCGTAAGAAAACATTTTTTTTCTGAATAATGTTGAAACCTTTATTCAAAAGGGCAAACGGGGCAGAAATAGTCCCTAGGATATCATAAATTGAAATCTATGGCTGTGTGTCATTACTGCTATGAAGTCAAGGATAGTGCACATACAGAATGAGCCTGTAGAATTCCTTTTGAAAAAAACAATTATATTTCCTATTAAACACCAAAATATCTGATATATACTAATGGCAGCTGTATGTAAAATGATGCTATAGATTGAATAGTTAATTCTAACCTTAAAATACTATTTGAAAGTAAAACCCACAGTGTAAAAGCAGTCACACCCAGTAATTTGAGAAACATTTCAACATGATGTGGAGTTTAAAACCAGCATGAAAGGTTTTGCTGTTAAACTTTCAGGCATCACATGCAGATAATTTGTCACAAATATGCCCTGTAAGTAAATGCTTCTCTGTTGTGACAGATATTCAGAGATCATTTTACAGGAAAATGCAAGTCTTGTGCCCTGGGAAGATGTTTATTTATAGCGTTTCTTGTTTTGTGAAAGACTGTATATCTCATACACACATGCAAGTACATATTCCTAGTAAAAGTCTACTTTATGCAGAACTGAATCACCTACTTTTCAAGCAGTTTTCCCCAGTTTTGTCTGACAAAAGCCCAGGTCAGAGCCTGACCAGCTGGATTCCTGCTAATGGTGGAAATTACAGCAGGAAGATTCTGTGTTTTTATCACCTCTCCTTCAATGCTGAGCTGAATTAGTCTACAGCAGAACAGAAAATATACACACAGTTAACTGCACTGAGTTATAAGTCTTAGAAAATATTTAACAAAAGCGTATAAACTATCAGTGGATACTTATTAAAATAACATTTCCACGTTTCTTTTACATGGAATTGAAGAAGTTCTTAATAGTTTTCCATACATTTACTCGTCTTTTTCTGTTGTCGTCCATAATACTCAGGGACTAGGGAGCAGGCACTGAGACTGCCAAGGACAAGAGTTTTCTCCCTGCTTGGTGTAATTGAGGAAGAGGACTGGGCTGGTCAGAAGGCTCCACGGTCGAAACGTTGTGTTCTCTTGCTTCTTTTTTTCAGCATGAAATAACCTATTATATGTTGTCTATAGTACTGTATATACATGAAGATAACAACATCCTGCACTCTGTATTTTCTTGTATTTAGGACTTCAGTGTAGTTCAGCCTTGCAGACTTTTAGCACTAATGTAAATCAAGTGCAGCTCCAGTTCTTCAAACAAAACATTGATTTGCTTTTATGTAAGGTAAAACAAATCAAGCAGATGAAAAACTCACCCAGTAACCCACTAGAGGGCAGACAAACACCAGGAGCAGCAATTCAAAACCCTAATCCTGAAAAGTCCCCAAAAATCATATCTGATTAAAGCAATAGCTGTTTTAATTAGCTATTGATCACCTGGCTAAGACATACACCAGAAAGCCATGTGGCTCTCCAGGACTAGTTTTCAAATTGTCTCCAATTCATTTTTGGGTGTACTGGTGTTCTTTATTGGGTTCATTGGGGTTACTCCCAAAATGGTCAAAGTTTTTCTTACAGCTTTTCATTAATTGTGTTTCTGAAAACATTTTCAACATGAAGGAAAGTAATGGTTTGATTACAAAAGAGTGATTTTTGGTTTAAAGATGCATGTACAGAATGTAAAACTAAACAACTTTGTTAACAGAATAAAAGTTATTTAAAAAAATATTGAGCCTATGTCACTTACTTGTTCAGTTTTTCAGTATCTTTGCTACGTGTCAGTGCATATAAAATCTTATTTTTGTCAGTAGAGGACAGAGAATGCTTGTATATTTCCAGAAGAAAGTTCCAGTCTTCTGTATTTTGGGATCCAACAGCATACACTGGCCTCAGCACATCCGTTGGCAAGCTGAGAGAATATTGGAAGAGTGTTAGTCAAAATTTTAGCACAATTAAAACAGCATTAAACAAAATGGCAAACAACAATCCATACTACTGATATTTTTTATTTGAAAAAGAAAGGATCCAGCTACTATGGGCATATTTCACACTGCTATCTTTATCAATTTTAGTTATGTTCAGACAGGCCATTACAGTATTCAGCCTTGACAAACGTTTCGAAAACAAAAGATTTACTACCTTAAGTAATTGTACACAACAACTAAAACTATAAAAGCAAGAGAGATGTAAAACATGTGCACAGTGCTTTAATTTAACTTTTCATAGTCAGAATTTATCAGCACAGATAACATAATTTAGGAGGTTTTTTGTGATTAACAAGTACATGAAGGAGATAGTTACTTACTTCTTGGTGCCATTTGATTTTGCCCATTCTTTGAATAGCTGGGTTGCCTTTTGGACACAGGGAGGATAACCAAGTTCACAGGCAAGTTCTAAAAGTTCAGTGCGAAGCCTCTTGTCTGACACTGAGCCTTCGTCATTCCACATCTGCTTGTCAATCACTTCTTTGAAGTATTCTAAGATATAACGCTGCAAAAGAAATTAACTGGAAATGAATTCAGGATAAAAGCTGATCTTAAGGACCAAGAGAGTTTTTAAACTGGTCTTCCCACTGTCCATATGCACTGTTCTTATAAAAATATAAATACAGTTTTTCTTATAATTGCTGTTGTATGACAAACTATGAAAGTTTATAGAGGACTTTATGACAATACTTTCTAATAAAAGGGAACAAAGAAAAAAACAAGACATAAAGACAACCTTCAAACTTTTCGCGGTATCTGAAATGTTTCTCCTTTCCATCATGTAGTGCAAGACATTCAGGTACAGTACACCCTGCATTAATGGGATACTGTCAACCTCCTTCTTCAGGTAACGTGTCAAGTTAAGGGCTCTGTCCAGTGAAAGTCTCCCTGTGCTGAAAGCAGAATGACATTACAAAAAAATGCTCAAATTACAATGAACTTGGTAGCAGGAATATGATAAAATCTCTCTTTACACATATCACCAGCTTGGTACAAAAGTAATTATCGTAAGTGGTGCACTTTTTACATATTCCTACAACAATGGGTAGGGAAAGACACAAAGACACATAGTCATAACCTCTTAATTAAGCTAATGAGCAGGTAATGAGGGAGGAAGCCCAGGATCCTACTACAGTACAGTAGATTTAAAATAAACTTACAAAATGTTTATCTCCACTCTAAAGTACTCCTAAGAGCACTCTTACTCCTTTTCTCAGTATCTCTAGCAACTTGAATTTATGGCCTAAAAGGTGAAATGGACCTATAAAATCAATTCTAAAGGGTAAAGTGTATTTTTGCAGTTGAGCTTTAATCCAAAGGCTGTTTTCAAAAATCTGCTGATTCACGTTTTAACTAAATATCAGCACAAAGCAATAGTGAATTGTGCACCAGCAGTTTGTGACTGATTTGTAGCATTTATTTAACTAAAATAGAGGTGACAGGAAACCAGAACACCTGGCAGAATCACATGCTAAATGAGGGAATATACCTGTTCTATACAGATGCCCAAACCCAGATCCATACCATAACCTCGGATTTGTAAGACAGCAACACCAACCGCCATAACACTGTTTCCCCACTGAGCCCCCAGTTTTATAATTGCATACTGGCACTGCAGTGATTATTATAACTATCATTATAAATTACACTGTAGCAAATATATTTAACGAATTTACAGACCTGTAGCTTTCTCCATGAACATATTTACCTGACCAGCTGTATTGCGTTATGGATAAGGTTTGTTCTGTCCTTATTGCTTATTGCTGTGTGGTTCTGATTTAGTAATTCAATCAGCGAGTCCCATCCCTCTTCTCCATAATGCACAATATAATATCCATTCATGTCCACATTGAACTTTATCCAGTTCACCTCCCCTTCTAGCTGAATAGTGTCTATGTTACAAAAGAGTTAAAAAAGGCAATACTTTTAGAAACGTCTGCTTAATATGCAATGCCGCCGTAAACTTCACAAAACTTGATAAAGCAGTATCAGTTAGGATTGTATCAAAAAGTACTGGCCGGGATATCAGGGCTAATGCAGTAGCGGGGACATGGAAACAATTATTAGAACTAAACTACAGGATCAACTATCCTATGGGATAGTACAGATACTGTATATTGTAGTACAGTATGTCTATAGTTTAGATAGACATGGGAGGGATAGAAATGCTTGCTAATCTGATCATTAATTTACAATTGTTCTTAATCCTTAAAAAACAGTTGATTTGAAGTCTATTAGACTAACCAAATCAAGGTTCTCCAGGACCTGCATTAAAATCACATGTCTGCCAGTGCCTTTTGTGCAAATATATGTGCAAATATATTTAATATAATATTATATAATAATATTTATTGATGCAGTATCATAGCAAAATGTCCCTCTCTTCTCCTAAAAACATAAATCTCTGGATTAATCTCTACGGTACCTGATTTTGTTTTCAACAAATGCCGCCGAACACTGCTGGAGCTATTTGTAGAGTAGGTTAGAGGAACATGCCACAAGTATCTGTGGGAAATAGAGGTCATGATGTTTTTCCTTTAAAGCAGAGTCATGGCAATGAAAAGGTACAGTACAATGAAATTGAAACTGCATTACTTATTTAAAAATTGTTAATCACTTATTAAGTGTTTCGGGGTTGAGAATGCATTCCTCCTAAGTTTAATTTTTTAACATATGGTGAAGTACATTTGCAGACCTTTGCTCCTGAGGAAGGCTTTTTGTGAGCAAATGTAAGAGGTAAGTTGGTTAAAAAAAGTTGGTTATAAAAATAGACAACACATTGGTCCCATTTAAACAAAGTATACCCTGACTGTAGTGCCACATATTCAGGGTCTTCCTGCAGCACTCCTTTGAGGAATCGCTCCTGATGAACTCTGACTTGCCGTCCCCTTTTTTCTACAGTAATCAAAGGGATTCCCATTTGCAGGGTCCAAGTGTTCATCATTTCTTTCAGATCCAGGTGCTGGCATGCATACCGGTGCTGAAATTTCAGGAAACAGGGTTAAACATACAGCACGTACCTGTAACAACAAAGTCAAGAGACTTAAAAATATATTTTAAAGGTAACAAATATTTGTAATTTAACTTCTTTGAGCACAACCGTCAATGTGTTATTGATATTTTCATTTAAAATGAAGATGTGCTACCAGAGTGATGTTCTAAACTTCCAGATTAATTATTGTGCAAATCCAATAAATTAATTATTTTTTATTCAGTACATTCAAGTCGCACAACACAAAGCTCTTGCTAATAAACTCAAAACTTAAATCACACCAATCGGCATTTGTTTATGTCCTGTATCTACTGGACATGTCTTTCAGAAAATTCAGTATAACACAGTACATTTATTTTAAAGTACATTACTTGGAGATTCTCAATTTTCCTAAATCATTCAGGTCCTTTTTATATTAGCTCCAGACTGTGATATTTGTAGACTATATACTGTATGCCTTTTGGCATAAAAAGTATTAAATTAGTAACTATATTGTCTCCGGTAGTTATCTTTTACCTGATGTTAAAAAACCCAATTCTCTATTTGTAGAGTTGTTTTCTCTGTCTCACTGTCTAAAGAGTCCAAACTGACTCACAGTGCCTCCAAGTTACTTACAGCCTTCCTTTCTGCTTCTGAGGAGGTGTAACAGAATCCCCCTGAAGAAAAATCCCTTTCAGCGCACGTCTGTGGAGAGCAAACAACCAGGAAATATACACAATAAGTAAATTATCTCTTAATCCCCAAAAGACAGAAACCATCAAAGACAGAACTCCAAAGATAAACAATCTTTCTAACTAAATATACAATTGAAAACAAATGTGGACAAATTACCAATAGAAATTACTCTTTCACTGACAGTGACCTTTTGACTTAATAAGGTACTAAGGTACTTTTAAATGAACTTTAATAGTCTCAAGTGGAATGGCTGCATAATAGTTAACATTGTTGTCTCACAGTGCTGCGGCCCTGGGTTTGATTTTGGAACTGGGACCATATCTGTGCAGAGTTTGTACAGTATGTTCTACTCGTGTTATCACTGGTTTTCGCTAACTGCTCCGCTTTCTTCCTACAGTCCAAAGACATGCTGGTAGGTTAGTTTGTTTCTGGGAAAACTGGCCCTAATGCGGGTGTGTGGGTGTCTGTATTGGTGTGTGCCCTGTGATGGACTGCTGTCCCGAACAAGATGTATCCTGCCTTGTGGCCATTGCTCACCAGGATAGGCTCTGGCTCCCCTGTGATACTGTATTGGATAAAGTGGTTAAAAATGTTAACTAACTGATTCTTTAAAAAGTTAACTGCTTTTAACTATATTTACATCCTCTTTGTTAGCCTTGAAATGTGGGATACCTGATGTTAAAATGCTGAAAAAAAGACGAACATTAGCATGAAGGAAGCACACAACATATGATTCATGGGGTCTTACATTCGCCATGGTGTTCCAAAAGTCATCACTCTTTGCATTCTTGTAGCTATACCTGTGTAAGTAGCGAATAATCCCACTATGGAAGACTTCTTCCGTTAGGAAATCTTTCAACATATTCAGAATACATGCACCCTAAAGAAAAAAAAACATTTATGGTTTTTTTTAAGATGTTCATCTGCTGCTTAAATGTATTACTTTTTTCTTAAAGTTGAAAATGTCCCAACAGTTTAACTAATCTTGACAACCAAGATGGTATTCCCATGATGTGCATGAAACCTCCAGCAGTCAATTGGTTACTTGCTTATTACAGTATGTACAAACAGACAAGAAGGTCTTTGGAATAGTGCATCCAAACTACCAGACCAACTGTCATGAAAAGCAGATTAAATATGAATGTGTAAGAAAGCCGACCTTATCATAGGAGACGGTGTTGAACATTTCCATAATCTGCACAGGCGTTTCTGCTGGGTTGGAGATCGGATGAGAAGAATTTAGAGAATCTCTTGACATGGCTCCAAAACACACATTCAGAAAGTAGTCCTCCTGGAAAATAGGTAAGAATTTCATTATTTTTTTTATATCTAAAAGTTGCTGAAAGGTTTTATAAGGCACCTGCTATGAACAAAAAAAACGGTGATGCACTACTAATTTGATTATATGCAAAAATATATGTAAAAATACACAAATTATAATACTAGAATAAAATCCAAACTAATCTAAATGATTGACACATTTGTGAAGGAACTGTTTTCTCGATACTGCAGACCTCCTAGATTGTGGTGTCTATGGTGCACACTCCATCTGAATAGCAATAGTTACTGTACGTATTCAGGGGAATAACCTGTGCAGGTACTTACAATCTGAATCTCTGGGTAGGTGTTGTTCACAGAAACTCTCTCCATGTATCTGGCAAATCCTTCATTCAGCCAGATGTCATTCCACCATTCCATTGTCACCAGATTACCAAACCACTGAACAATAAACACCAGGAGATAACAGCAAATTATTTCAGATTCAGCTTGATTTTGTCAGGTAAAATGGGCAGTATTTGTGACACTTTCTTGAATAACTATAACACCCAAGTGCTTTTGGGTGTGTGACATCCATGCGCTTTCCGTGTAAACTATTGCTTTTAATATATAAAAACAACATAAGGGTACTTTAATGTTAATCATATAATTTTGACCTTTACTTTCATAAAGTCATCTGTGAGAACAAAAATGATTCATCAATTGTAACCAACACATGATCAGTATTTAGCACTATTTATTTACAAATTGCCATGGGATTTATTCTAAAATATTCCTACTCTAATTTTGCTATTACTAATAAAAACTCTTACCAATTATCATTGACATACTTTAAATATACAGTATAAACTAACATTTATACCTCAACTGTAGAAAATCCATGTTCATACTCATCTAGGGCTGTCTTAAAGTTCAACCCTAGTTTATTATGTAACTCCCATTAGAGTTTGTTCAATAAGTGAATTAAGTGCACATTTAGAGCTTTGTGAATATGGCCCCAGGTCTGAATACCAGGTATAGTACTACTGTAACTGTACAGGTTTGTTGGCTTGGTTTATAAAACAAAAATGTTTATACCAGAAAATAAGAATGGAATAGAAGGTAGTAGGAGAAAGATCTGATACTAACTACAAATCCCATTACTTACAGTATGACCTCTACTTAGAAGGGAAAAGCGTCTTTTCTGGTAAAGCCAGGAGGAGCTCTGTTCTAACTCAGTAATAAAGTGATTGTTTATAAAGAACCTGCAGTTAAGGTACTAAACCGCATTAAAGTCATTAAGTTATGATTTCGTACACTACCTGATGTGCCAATTCATGACCTATGACTTTCGTTATCCACAATTTATCTAAAGCAGATGATGTCTGTGGATCATATAGGAGCGCAGTCTCTCTGTACGTTATTAGGCCCCAGTTTTCCATAGCCCCTGACTGGAAATCTGGTATAGCAATAAGGTCTGGGAAAGACAAAAACACACTCATATATCATCAAGTTTAAAAACAAAAAATAAACTCCTCATACCAAAAAATACTGTTCCTTTTGTGTTGGCTATTACAGAAAGATATTCTCAATACTGTATTCGTTTTATCCAAGAAAATCCTGCCCTGGCACAAGTTAATAGAGTTCTCTTTAACCTGAAACAAAGAGAATTTTAGTAACACTTCAATGATGTTTTATAAAATACCGAAAGTTAATATCATGGTCTTGTTAGACAACAGCAGGATAGAATGCTGTTTTCTGATTGGTCAATCTGGTAGAGGACCCAGATTTATTAAAATAGTAAAAATATTATAAATTAAGTATCACCAAGTCTAAAGAACCCCTACTGTACATTCATACATTACACCTCCAATCCTGAAATATGGCAGGATGTTTTATGCAATGAAAAGCTATTTTCTTACATTTTTTTCATGATTTTCTAAATGTAAAACACTTTTTAACTGAAACATGTTATTTCATAACAACAGTCCAAGAAGCATGCTGTTACCAAATATCACCTCTTCTTCAAGTCATGGAATATAAGGAATTAAAAACTCTCCTATGTACAGTTCAAAAGTTCAAAAATAAAGGTTTATTCCAAGCTGAAAAAATAAGAAAAGAAACACAACGTTTTGGCTGTGGAGCCTTCTTCAAGTGGGAAGAAACATTGTATTTTTTTTTCTTCTCTTTTCAGCATGGAATAAACCTTTACTTGTTCCATTCTCCTATGTATTTAATTGAGATCATTTATAGTGTCTCTTTCAATTTCATTTTATGTCCTTACCTTGCTTAGGCAAAGGATAACTGATGTTAAAATAATGTTCATAGAACTCCAGCAATTTTACTGATGCTTCAAGGGCATAGTGAGTTTGATTCCACTTCTCAGGAACAGCATATACTGAAACCTGTTAATATTCAAAACTAAAATCAGAAGGCTTTCCACTTTACTGTCCATTTAAACAGAAGAACAGACAAATATTTAGGCAGGACTCTGGGAAACCATGGAAAGGACAAACTGTACTAAATGCAAGAAAAAAAGTATAAAAATGGCAGAGAGGAATATTATTATTGTTGTAACTACAAGCTACAATAATTGTATTGCTTTCAATAATATGGATATACTGTACATACCTTTATCCCTGATGATGTGGTGGCACTGACTGACATGAAGTCACAAACTACATAGGCTACCAGGTAAGTGCTCATTCTGACACTCTTGTCAAAGTGGTCTTCGAGCAAACCACCTGCAAGCTCCACAGTCCGCACCTGAGGACACCAACAACAACAACAACAACAACAATAGTGAGTGCTGAAAAAAACAGTCAATTCATTTAATTTTTCTATTTAATTTTTAAAAATAGTTTCATTTATGGGGGCAGCACAGTGGCACAGTGGTTAGTATTGCTGTCTCAAAGGGATCTGGGTTACACTTTGCATGCCATTACTATTACTTGCCAGGCTAGGTCCTGGCTCCCTCGCAACACTGAAATGAATGAAGTGGTTAGAAAATGGATGGATGGATATATCCATGCTACTTTCCTCTTTCATCCTCAGGCCTGAAGAATGCTGAATAGCTAACACTTTTTAGCTTTTCCCATTTTCTGCCAATGTTTCAGTCTTTATGCACCAGTATCCTCACTACACAGATCAGGTGGATAAGTGAGAAATTACTTAACATCCTTCTTTTACAAACAGGGACAAAACGGTCAGTAAAGGGGTCTTAAAGTCTCATCCAAAAGCTGACACTTCCTATAGTTACAATGTATTTAGTTGCCAGTGGTACTAGTTTAGAAATTGTGGACCAGAGGAACCACACTAACTGGGTAACCTACACCTCTTAATACAGCAGCCTTGGGTTCATTAGACGTCTTCCAGTTCAAAGCTGACCAGGCCCAACTTCATGTAGGTTCTAAAAGGCAGTAATAGTACTCCTGCTGGACTACATTTATTCTATTTGAGGCCCATCTTCATGGGCCCATGTTGAAATTCATGGCTGCTTAGATGTGAGGATGTGGTATAGTGTGGCATTAGTGTAACTCACTGCATTAGAAATGAAATACTGTGTTCATCTTATTGCCCTCTCCTCAAATTCTTCAAAAACTTACTCTTTTGCTTAAAATGTAAAGCCAATGAAACAAACAGAAAACAGCAAATAAAAGGTAAAGCCAGGAGATTTCATGTTATGAAAACTACTCCTTCAAGCCAACAGCTCTTACCTTGGGCATGTTGGACAGGGCGATGTGTTGCTTTTCTCTTCTTATTTTGATGGAGAATGTGGCTTTGAAAAAGGGCTCATCAAAGCAGGGAAAAGCCATCCGTGCTGCAGTAGGCTCGAAATCTGTGGCCGCCAGTATCCTGGGAATAAACAAAACAAGGAAATTATCACAGCATGTTAATAAGATGCTTGCCAAGCAATCCAGCCTATACTGTATTATTCAGGCTAACATTTCAAGCACCAATGTAAATTTGTTTAGTGTGACTGAAAAAATATTAGAATCCTCTAGAATATTTATCACGAATCAAGCACAGCATTCATTTTATTATTTTTATGAGCTTTTTAATGCTGATTATGAATCTTCGTATTAATTACTTAACACTTATTTCTTATCAAGAAGTGGTATTCATAACCTGAAAACTCTTGTATTAATTGTAATTTTTGCATATCAAACATAATGTTTCCTATCCATTTTGAAATGGCGGGTATGTCGATCCAAATTTCTTGTCTTGTCTTAGCTAAAACATGTTTAGCATTTTGGATTTTAATATGCCTGATTTTATTTTTAGAGTTGGTCTTTTTCTGTACTTTTACTACACTCTTTTTAGCATTTTAATCACATTTAAACAATAACATTATAAGCAAATTAAATATCTTCAAATCCAAGATAAAATAGTAACCCATAACTATTCTAAAAACCTTCTCCTCAAGAATTTATGCTACTCTTTATCCAAAATGCAGTCAAAATATATATGATGATGCTTACTTTATATATATATATTTAGATGTTTTCTCATGAAATGTGTATAGAGCATGTGTATAGAGCAGGGAAGACCAGCCTTGGTCCTAGAGATCCCCACTCCTGCAGTTGTTTTATGGGTCACTTACAGATCATTTAAGGGCTTGAAACATTTTTGTTTTGAACACTTAAGCAGATGTAAGTAGCTCTCAAGCTTTACAGCCCTTCATTTATTTAAACTACCTTAAAGTTAGCATATCAAATTAAACTAGCAATTTCAATTGTGAAATTTGACTATTTTAAGGGTAGTCTGTTAAATCTGCTGGACTGTGGCTCCTCTGGACCAGGGTAGGCCAGCCCTGATACAGTAGACAAGCAATTTACCTTTTTTCACCGTCTTTGGTCTGGTAGGTACTTTTATAGAGGCCATCATATCCGTCTGCAAGATTGGCTTGGAATTCAATGTACAGTCGATATTTCCTTTGCTCATTCAGAGGCTCGGGGGCCAGCAAAGCAATCTGCTCATGTGGCGGATATTCCAGTATTCTTACAGTCTGGCCCAGACCACCAGACCCCCAGTCCTCCTCAGGTATGATGGTTGTTTTTGTTATTCCAAGATCTTTACTGTGCAGGATGACATAACTGGTGCTATGTTTGACATCAACTTCAATTGTCACAGATCCAGTAAAGTTCAAAGTGGTCAGATTGGGATGAATCAGAAGGTCATAGTGGTTTGGCACTATGCTCCTAGGGAGTCTCATTTTGTTCCAGGGAAACAGCTGACCATTGGTAGCCATAGTTTCATTTGAACTACCTTTACAAACCAACATCAGCTGAAACCACGCTGCTAGTTTCAACATCATCATTTCCATTGTTGTTGGTGTTCAAAAACTATCCTCTGAAATTAAAATGTAATTTTTAAGAACATTCTATGGTTCATAAAAATGGAAACTTTAAAAGTATGTACATATCCAATGTTGTTTCTGCAAAAAAAAAGATCAATATGTGAAATAAATAATTTGCATTTAGCAACAGTGTTTAATTTATAGTACCAAATTCACATCATTTTGAATTTCCCAGGCTAGATGCATTATAAATCATATGTAACATGCTTTCCTTCTGATTATACTGCAACAGCCTGGAATACAGAGGCCAAAGCACTCTGAGCTTTGACTATGAACTTGACCTGTAAATAGTGTAGGTCTGAGTTAGGACAAGTGGACTTTTGAATTACTAGGTCCCTAAACCTACTCTTGCAAGGTACTAAATGTGATACTTATTTTTGGTCTGAGTTGCCCTACTTACAGTTACTCAGCTATTTAAACTTACTTACAAAAATGATTTACTTAGGAATTTAGGGTTCCGCTGGAATACTGTATACAATTCTTAACCCCACACACAATTGCTCGGGCTGTTAAAGGCAACTGTGCATAAAAAATATGTTGCTAAGTCCTAAATACTATTTTGCGTATTATTTTGCCTTACAACAGACATAATAGTCAAAAAACCTAAAAGCATTTTTACAATACTATCACAGAACAAAACTACCAAACACCATTGTGTTGGTACACATACTGTATATAGAAGTAAACGTTTCGTATACAAATGTGCTTTATTACATGACAGATGATCTAACAAAAATGTAATTCTATATCTAATATAATGAATATATCATATAAAACATGACAAATACTTCATGCTGGAACGTCAGTATTTCAACAGACAATCCGGAAGTCTTTTAACTGTACGGTGCGAGTTTGAATTTACTAAAATAGCACCTGCAAAACTTGTATCGTCGGTACAGTATATCCTGTAATGTTTTTAAGTGTTTTCTTTGACTTAAAAAATATAATACCGGGTAACAATCAAAATGTAAATGAAATATTCTCCTGTGCAGTACCTTTTCATGCCTTGGTTTCCTCGCTCGACGATGACTCTAAGCTCTACAGTAATCTCACTTTCACTTCTTTTAGCCTTGTCACTGCAACGCTCGCAGTGCATTTCTAGTGTCAGAGGTGCAAGCGATTCATTCCAAATGAGACCACAAAAATGTATCTTTCGCGATTCAACAAGAAAACATTTTATATAATTTGTGTACCATGACCTTTAACCTTTACAGCATGCGGAAGCCGTTAAAAAGACTTTAAAGGCATAGTAATCTCCTACATTTTTAAACTAAAACTTAACAAAATCGAATTCGTCTGAAGACTCTTTCCATTTTGGATTCCTTTTACAGATGCAAATAATATTTTAAAAATAATTTTGTAGGAATTAATTGTTGTGATAGCTTTGGTTAGGTTTTCCTCTCGGTAGGGTATGCACTTCATAAAGAAAATAGTGTATCAGTATACATAACATCAGAGACCAAGTGTGCCGCTTCTGTTATTTACGGTAATGAAAGCTTAAGGCTCCATTGAGTGTTGTTGTATTAATAAAGCGCCGTAGGAGGATACTGAATGTTTTAAACCACGCAGTCAGTGAACAGCAGACGGCGGAAGAGGAACCGGTTTGTGGAGATAACGTCTCCAGATACATGCCATTTTAAAATGAGGCTTCATACCTCTAAAATAACAGGTAAAGAATATTTATTAGCAAGGAAGAACAGAATCAAATATTACAGATAGGGGGTAATGCCCATTTTAATACAGCATCTAAAATTACAAATAACCCTGCATCGTTGAAGAATTATTGATTCATTGACAGTTTAAACTGGTCACAATTTATAAATTAGGAGTAAGGTAACAGATTGATCTCTTAATGTTCAATGTAAAAAGGCACTACATTATGACTGTATTCTATAGTTCGTAGACATTGTCAGCTAATTTATGCCAAGTACAAAATTATATAATACACACAATTCTAGCCTCTGTCTTTGTGAGAATGTAGTAAAACAGTCTTTAGGGAAGCATATAAACAAATAGAATTTTAATCAGGTTTGTTGCATACATTTTCAGAGCAATATTTACAAAAAATACCATAAGGGCTTGTGCTGATGCACACCACATATTTCTTTATCAGTTGTACGACACAATTGTATAAAAAGCAGCAGAAAGGGAATCAAACCAAAGTTAAAGATTACCATTTTCTTGGCACAGCATACGATCTTTCCACCAACAACAAAACTTGCACACCTCCAAAACCCATACATTTCATACTTGCATTGAGAGTTGTGCCTAAGTGTTGGAACCTATTACAAAGTTAAGAAACAAGAAGATGGTAAAAATGTAAGGCAAAAAAAGGCGACGTTCTAAAGTATATAAAAAGATGGGAGACAGCTACTGTATATTTTCACAGAACTTTATTGTATAAAACATTATGAAACTTAAACACTTCTATACAAAAGCAGAACATCTGTAAATAGGTAGAATACTGTCATAGGACAGGTTTGGAGTGTGATTCATTAATAGTGAAGAATGACTTTCTGTAAATCAAAAATAAATGAAATTACTGTAAAGACTTTTGATGTCAAAAGCACAAAGAGAAGAAAGTAAAGATTAAAGCACATCCAAGAAAAAAAAACAGCGCATTTTGCAACCTGCCATGTTTTTTCCCCATATCAAACATTTGTCATTTATTGCTTTTGTTTCTAATACAAAGACATCAGTTTCTAAGGCATATAAAATGACCTTGATTACCATTATCACATCATGTTTCATTAAAAAGTAAAGCAAATCTCCAAAATATACAAAACTGAAAACCAACGTAGTCCTGGGTTACCAATTAACTGAAACTAACCTATTTTAAGACTGCTAATGTTTAGTTAGTGCCAATTTTAATACCTGTGTGCTTAACCTTTAGCTAAAAAAATATGTTCTGTATAAATAGTGGATTTATAAATGACAAACTTCTAAGCCAGAAGCAATGTCTAAATTGGGGTTGTGTATTCAGAAAAATCCAATAAATGGCTGTAGATCTATTCTGTATCTCATAAACTAAAGATTTTAAATTAGAAACCTATCATGTATTGTTTGCCAAAAAACCTAACGTCCTACTTTTAAGCCCTGAAATGTCTCACGGTAGCATTCAAATTACGTACAAATTCGGCAAATAACAATCCACTACACATCTTCCAAAATAACTTATGCTTCCTGCAAGTTCTTCAGTAACCAGCTCCTCATGGGCTCCAGATTCCTCTCCAGCCACCTGATGTTCTTTTCAAGATTCTCCAGAGCAACTTGTGTAACCCGAAGCTGAGAAGAGTGCTCCTGTATGGATTCAAAGAACAACTTCACCTGGAAAAAAAAAACAAGATTTCAATTTATGCTGCGATGTGCACTTGCAAAACAGAAAACTTTTTATACAACTTATTTGGTATTCAGTTAACGTAGAAGACAAAAAAATATATTTTGATTAGCACTGTGTCTTTCACTTCTTTCCTCTCACTGTTTAGGTTCTTTTTACAATGACTCCAGTTAAGTATGCTGTGTGTTTAACTGACACACATTCTCACTGGAGCCAGGATACAACTAAACCAATTTGATATTTTTACCTCCTCAAGCTCTTCTTTAGAGGAAAACTGAGCTGTTGTGCCAATAATGATATTCCGTATACAGAAAGATCCCAGCTGAAATCTGTGGGGACAGATTAAGACAAATTTGAAGACCAGTCAGAGACAATGCTATATGATACTGTGTTACAAAACGCCTCTATAAAGGTATACAGCCAATGTCCTAAGAGGTATACTGCCAATGTCCAACATTTAGTGGATATTAAATTGTAGGTTCTCAATTAAGTGGCAGGCACATACACTGTGAAACCTGAGGAAACTTGCAACAACATGGGCACTTTATAAATTGCAGGAAGTAAAACAGAAAATTCAAGACCTTAAGAAAACTAAATTTCTGAACATGAACTTAAAAGATCCAGTGGCAAAATTATGTGCATGTTCAAAATACAGCCTTTTGTATAAAACAATTCAGTGATATCTATTTAACCAGAGAGTTTATGTATATATGTAAATACCTGAGGATTTCAAGTTATTACATAATTCCATTAGAAAGAATGCAAACAATAAAAGTATCTGTAAAAACATTTCCGAAATGTAATGTAACAACTTTTTAAAACAACACAGATTTTTTTAAAGTTTTCATATGAAGCAGCTGCGTCAGTATGGTAAATCAAGTATTAATCATTTATTTTAAATATTTGGTTGATATAGTTTGTTTTGAATTAAGTATATGCTTTATATAACCATATATAAAATTCATCAATTTACTTTTCTTACAACTACAAAATACAGCTACCCTCGTGTAATCTCCAAGAGATCCTACTGTACTACCTTTATTGCCGTTACACACCTTTATTGCTGTTTCACAGATA